TCTTTGTTTTTTTTTCTTATTCACCTGATATGAATAATTCATTGCATTTGTAGATGAGTAAAACATTATTGTAAGATGAGTAAAAGGACAAAACTTTCTTCCTAGAAATAATTATTTGAAAAACAAGTGAATATTGGCTGATTACTGCATTTTTTTGGTATAAAGAGTGTTCCTTTACTTTTTTAAATCTTTCTCATAGCCGGAGATGGAGAGATATTGAATATTTATATATATATATATATATTTGAAAAGTAACATCTAAGCTATTATTCAACAGAAAGTTCACTCTTGATAAAAATATTGAAACAAAATTTTATCAAAGTATTTTTTTCTGTAGAGAATTATCCACTTTAGTATTTTATGAATATCTCTGTTAGTTATTAATACGTTGACTTGAATTTTTAAATTCAAGACAGCAGTTCTTCATATAAAAATGGACTTTTTTTGGAATATAGTAATGCTAATCAGATATAGTTTTTTGATTATCCTTTTGAGGAGAATTGTACAGGCTATCTTTTCGAAAAAATTCAAGTCAAAGTATCAAAAACTAATAAAGCTATTCTTAAAATATTGAGTGAGTGATTCTTTACAGAAAAAAATAATTTTGATAAAATTTTTACCAATACGACACTGTTCTCTTTTTAGTAAACGTCCTGATTTAGTTTTAGTTTTCAATCTTATTCATATAATGTATAATAAAATGATAGATTATATAAAAATACTTTTGTCTTATCAAACATACTCTTGATATTAGACAATATTTTGAATATTGGAAAAAGAAAAATTATAAAAAATTTCGGTTTTTCTTTTTTGTCATAAATAAAATTGTAATAGTAAATTTAAATACATTTTAAAGGCTATTGCATGCATATGAGTATAGAAGATTTTGTATTGTTAACAATATGCAAATCGGCAATACTTAAATTATACCATAGAGGTCTCTAGTTTCATATACATTCGTCAATCTAACTATTGATTGGTACATTTCAATCAAGCAATGTCTACTTCTTCACATGTTAAAGATCTTTACGAGAAGAAAAAAAAACTTGTGTCTCATATTGAGATAAATCTATTAAAAAAGTCGAACAAATGAGTGCACCAGTTACAACAGTAACAACCGTAGCAACACCAGCAACAGCACCTTTTACACCAGAAGAAGATTTATTTTCAATAGCTCATCAATTATTTGATCAATATCGTATAGCTATTTTTGTACTCACTGGAACTGGTATTACGTTTTTTTTTCTCTCTTTATCATATTCTTACTAACTGATGTATTTTTGTTTTTAGTAATGACAGCATGGTTATACAATAAATTATGGGTGAATCGAAAATTTTATCCAAGTATGCAACTAATGCAAGGTAAAACTGTTGTTATTACAGGTGGTAATACTGGTATTGGTTATGAAACAGCTAAAGATCTTCTTCGACGAGGTTTGAATTTAATGTTTTTTTTTCGGATGTTTATAAGTGATTTTTATAGGTGCTCGTGTTATTATCGCTTGTCGTAATATGGATAAAGGTCGTCAAGCTATTCGACAATTACGTTGGGAAACTGAATGTGAAGAAAAATCTATTCGATTAATGGAATGTGATTTATGTTCATTTGAATCTATTCATAATTTTGCTAAATTATATGATAATGAAGAAGAAAGACTTGATGTATTAATATGTAATGCTGGTCTTGCTTGGCCACAATATGTAGTCACAAAAGATGGATTTAATTCTATTATTCAAGCTAATTATCTTGGTCATTTTTTATTAACAAATTTACTTTTAGATAAATTAAAAAAATCTCGTCCAAGTCGAATTATTAATGTTTCATCGGGTGCACATAAAAGTTTGTATTAAAAAAGAAAATTCCAATATATATATATATTTGATGCCATTTTTTTTGGTTTAATAAAAAGGAGTTCAATCAATTGATTGGTTTGATGTATTTACACAATTTAAAAATTTTCATCTATTAGGTGTATATGCATCATCAAAAGCATTTCAGATATTATCAACTTATAAATTAAAACAAGATTTACTTGGTAATTAATTTGAATATTTTTTTTTTAATTTAATTTTAATTATTTTTCATTTAGCGGAAGGTGTTGATGTATTTTCAGTAAATCCCGGTTGGGTTCGAACATCTATTCAATCACCAATGCGAGAAGCTATTGGAATTTATCGATTTATTATTATCTATCCAATGTTACGTTTACTTAAAGCTACCTTTGCTAAAACACCAAAAGCTGGTGCACGAACAATTATTTATTGTGCAGTTGAACCTTCACTTGAACATTCTTCAGATCTCTATTTTAAGTATGTATCTTTCATTCAAAACAAAAAACAAAATAAGGTGCCGGCAATTCGAAATCTAATTACACCTATACTCCGATTATTTTTTATGCATTGGAAAACAGTGAGCAGTAGTGTATTAGAATTTTTCTATGACTATTGAACTATTAGTAAATCTTGATAGTACACAAAAAAAAATTTTTTTTGAAGACAAGTTTATATTACATAAGTTCTGTAAATATAGTGTACTTGAGAGTGATCTCTATTCTATAAAATAACGCAAGGATGGAGAGTTTTTTGTTAATCCACTAAAAACTTGTAGAATTGTGATTGAGGTTTGATTTGTGTTGAAAAGGCGAAGATCGGAAACATAGCCATTTTTCTTGTCATAGACTCAATTATTTGTAATATGTTTGGAACAAGATTCATTTATAATTCAATAGTCAAAGAAAAATTCTAATAAGAGAACTACTCCTCGTTTGAACTCGTCCTGGGCTCAGAAAGAGAAGATCTTGGCAAGATTAGCAAAAACCTAAAACTGTTCGTCCCCATAAGTCTTTAATGTCTGGTAATGGCTAATTTATACCAGATTTTCAACTCATTTGTAAGTATTTAGAGCATAGCAAAATTTTCGAATAATGGAACCTATTGAGAAATGAAAAACTAAATATCTCATGTTGTAGAGTTTTTTAAGGTGCGTCGGATGGTATATAGTACATCTTGTTTTCATAAGACTTTGAAGGACCTAGAGTCAATTTACTGATAGACGACGACACATCCACACAGCCAAGCATGATAAGTTTCTGAATATTTTGGTACTTGGTATTTGTAAAATATTTTTTCTCGCATACGATTTTGTACAGTTTTTGACGGGCTACAATTTCCTTTATGTAGCATCTTCGGTCATCTTGTCAATGTGGGTGTGTAGTCGTCTATCAGTAAATTGACTCTAGGTTCCTCATTTATTTCTCAATAAGTCCTCTTATATCCGGAAAGATTCTTTAAACGCCATGGCCAGAACTTTTGGTATATCCTAAGTACTTACAAATGAATCGAAAATTCAGTAAACTTTTCCTACTCTTATCGAAACCTTCTCCTCTGATTCCAATATGAGCTCAAACGGTGAATGTCTTTGAGTAATACATTCTTTTCCAATGCAGTTAAATACATGAAATGAAAATTAAATATACCATTCAATACCGACTTGGATGCTGATTCTGAATATAATATGCATTTCATACGGAACTGAAGTTCTGATGGTCAAAAATTTCGAATACCAACTCGTATTTACGACTGTTTTGTTATCATATAGAAAAAAAAATCAATTTTCTCAACAATCAAACAAATGCATGCATAAATTTTGAGGCTATCGAGAGTTGATGCGTCAATTTTTATTGACTTTAGTTTTTAATTGAAAAAATAACATTTTAATAGGTAACTCTATGAGTTCTATCCAATCATGAAAAAAAAAGTTTGTTTTTTTGAAATTTCGAATTGCTGACAACTTATATAAAACAAAAAGAAGAAGAAAAAGAAAGATTCTATTTCTATGTTATAGGAATTGTGCTCCTGCTCGAACGTCTTCATTCTGTGCAGATAATAAAACAGCTGATCATTTATGGGAATTAAGTGCTAAAGCAGTTGGATTAAAATAATCTCTATATTCTATTGTAATATATTTTTTTTTTGTATTTATAATAAAATAATTATTGAAGATAATCTAGCGACAGCAAAAAAAAAGCGAATAATCTAGCGTTGCTATGTACTAAAAAAATAGATCATAATTTATTTACTATTGTCTATGCTAGTTAATCTTACTATTATCATTATATTACTAAAATATACTTGTTCAAGTGAGTTTTGGTTTTTTTTTTGTTGTTATCAAAATTTAATGAATGTAACACAGATGCACAAGGTGTTCCTTATAATGGTACTTGTACTTTTACTCATGATTGTGCTGATTGGCGTTATGGACGTGTAATATGTGATATGATAAAGAGATGTACTTGTAGACCAGTTGTTACTGATATTAATGGAAAAGTTTTTTGGAATAGTACAAGTCGTCGTTGTGTTTATTGCCCAGGAAAATGGTTTTTTCGAGGTTTAATTTTCGCTGTTTTTTTTTTGATGATATTTATTGTTTGTATATTAGAAACACGATGTTATTATTTTCATTATGAGAAAATGAATTGGTTAAATGCTCGAGATAAATGTCGATCATCTTATATGGCTGATGTATGTTGTTAAATGAATTATTTATTTGATTTATTTTCTATTATAGTTAATTGTTTTTAATAATATTGATAATTTAAATTGGATTCGAGTAAATATTATTATGAAATTTATGTTATGAAATATATTTTATATATTTGTAGAAATATGGAGAAGAGATGAGTGTATTAATGGTTTTTCCTGATACTTGGGATACTTCTTATTATACTCGATTTTGGTAGATTATTATTTGTAAAATTTTTTAAAATAAGATATTTTAAAAGGTATATATATATATATATATCTATAGGATAGGTGCAATGAATGAACCATTTGTTAAATGTAAGTTAATAATAGATATAAATTTTTAAAAAAAATCAAAAAGGAATAAAATTTATTCGAGTTGGTGAATTCTCATGGATTGACAATAGAGGATTTAGATTTGATCAAAATAGTTCAATGTGGTGTAGACCAAATATTAATGGAGTTGTAAGTAATTGTTTATTGGATTTTGAAAT